TCTTCTTCTTCTTCTTCTTCTTCTTCTTCTTCTTCTTCTTCTTCTTCTTCTTCTTCTTCTTCTTCTTCTTCTTCTTCTTCTCCTCCTCCTCCTCCTCCTCCTCCTCCTCCTCTTCTTCTTCCTCCTCCTCCTCCTCCTTCCAAGAGCTGCTTCTAAGCTCTTATTCTATTCTTCTAATTCTACTCTATTCTATTCCTTATTCTATTCCTCTAATTCTATTCCTAATTCTATTCTATTCTCCTCCTCCTCCAGCTTGAAAGAGCTTCTTCTAAACTCTTATTCTATTCTATTCTTCTAATTATATTCCTCTAATTCTATTCTATTCCTTATTCTATTCCTCTAATTCTATTCTATTCTCCTCCTCTTCTTCTGAAACAGAGGTCTTTCATTTCATAATTAAATATATTTTAGGCTTCCTTATGAGTTGGGGCTTGCGTTCGCACAACCCCATATTCATGGCCTAGGCATAATAAATATAAATAAATAAATATATAATTTATAAATATATAAATAATGAATATTTTATCTCTGTTGAAATTTGCTAATCTTGGTAGGAAGATTGAACACATGTATCTAATGGTATCGTGAAATAGCCATTTGGAGTTCAATTGTCTAGGTACCTGTTTACGAAGTATTGACCTGGTACAGGTTTTATGTTAAATTTTCCATCTGTTTACCTCCAATTAAATTAATAAGCCACAATTGGCTGTGCCCTTACGGCTAAGCATGTTGTGTCAATGGTTAAATAAACCAGATCTTAGAATAAGGTGTGAACCAAGACATTGAGTTAACAGGATGTTTGGGGTGCTTTAAAAACATTTCATGGGCTAGAAGAACATATATAGACCCATTTCAAGAATAATTGTATGAATGAATTAAATAATTCAGCCCAGATTCAGCCCAATGCCATAACAATATATATAGGCTGTGAAGCTCTATTTAAGTTAGTATCAATTGTTAATACCCCTTTTTTCTCCTCTTCCCCTTCCTTCCTTTTCTTTCCCTCCTTCATTCCCACTTCCTTCTCCTTCCTTCCTTTCTTTCCTTCTCATTCCTTTTTTCCTTCCCTCCCCCTTCCTTCCTTTTCTCCTTCCATCCCCTTTCCTTCCTCCTTTCCCCTTCCTTCCTTCTCATTCCTTTTTTCTCCTTCCCTCCCTTTCCTTCTTTCTCCTTCCCTTCCTTCCGATTCCTTTTCCCCCTCCCATTTTCTTTTTTCTTTCTCCTTCTCCCTTCCTTCTCTCTCATTCCCTCCCACTTCCTTCTTTCCTTCTCTCTCTACCCCTTCCTTCTTTCCTTCCTTCCCTCTGCGATTATACCCCGTCTTGTGTTTAACCCTGATTATGCCCATCAGAGTCTCCACCCAGTCTTCCTTTCCCAAGGTGATGCAGCAAAAGGAGCCAGGTTTTGGAAGCCTGACGCCCAATGAACTGGGAAGGGGGGGGGGATTTTATTTTTTAAAAAGGCTGTTGATGTCAGATTTGTAAATGAAAGCAATTGCTGGCAATACTGCAGCTCCCCAGCGTTCATATTGGCACAAGGGATGGGGGGGTGACAAAGGGACCCATCCACTCTCTTTCGACTCTGCTTCTTCTTCCTTTCGTGCCCCCTCCTCAAATCAACCTCTATTCCATAACAGAGCCTGGCTATGCCAGCCCCCTCCCACACTTTCCAGTCCTGGCTTTCAAGCAATGG